CATTTCCAAGAATTACGTATATAGCTCAACTAAAATTCAAAACTCTGATCAAAATGAAATAATTAAAAAACTACACATTTTTGAAAAATCAATAAAAGCATATCAAAACCCCTTAGATTTCCCCATAACACTGAAAGAATTGGAAGATAAATTATGGGTCCTTGAGCCCAAGAAAGCGGCATCCTGAACGAGATGCTGAAACTGGCCATTCTCAAACTCTTCAATGATGTTCTGTGTGTAGGGTTCTTCCCTGATATCTGGAACCAGGGCCTCATCAGCCCCATTCACAAGAACGGAGACAAACTGGACCCCAACATCTACCGAGGCACCTGTGTGAACAGTAACCTGGGGGAAGGTTTTCTGTAGCATCTTAAACACAAGACTGTCAGACTTCCTTATCAAACACAATGCCTTGAGTAAATCTCAAATTGGATTCCTCCCAAAATGCCGCACATCTGATCACATTTTTACACTACAAACACTAATTGATAAATATGTACATCAAAACAAAAGTCAAATTTTCGCCTGTTTTATTGATTTCAAGAAAGCATTCGACTCAATCTGGCATGAAGGATTATTCCTAAAACTTATTGACAGCGGAATAGGGGGGAAATTCTGTGATTTGATCAAATCCATGTACACAATCAGCCAATGTGCTGTTAAAATTGGAAACAAAAGAACTGAATTTTTTCTTCAGAAACGTGGAGTGAGACAGGGCTGCAGTTTAAGCCCCACCCTCTTCAACATTTACATTAACCAATTGGCCAATGTTTTAGCACATGCTCCCATTCAAGGTCTCACTCTCCATGACACAGAGATAAAGTGTCTTCTTTACGCAGACGACCTGGTTCTCCTGTCGCCCACTAAAGAAGGGCTTCAGGACAGCCTGAATCTGCTGGAAGGATTACTGTCATACCTGGGCCCTGACAGTAAACCTCCAAAAAACTAAAGTCATGATCTTCCAGAAACGCTCCAGACTAACACACACATTCACACTATCACACAGAACCATTGAAACCACAAAAACATACACTTACCGCGGCCTAAAAATTACTCCAACGGGTAACTTTACTTTGGCTGTGAATGAGCTCAAAGAGAAATCTCAAAGGGCTTTCTATGCCATAAAAAGATCAATTAAAATTGACATTCCAGTCCAAATCTCTGGCTCAAACGTTTCAAATCAGTAATTGAACCTATTGTATTATATGGCAGTGAAGTCTGGGGTCCACCTATAAAATTAGATTTTTTAAACTGGGAAAAACATCCAATTGAAAATATGCATTTAGATTTCTGTAAAAGAATACTCAAAGTCCAAAGAAAAACACCAAATAACGGATGCAGGGCAGAATTAGGCCAATA